GAGGGAGTGGGAAGTGGAAGGCAGGAGCATTAAATGATAGAGGGTCATTCAGGAGGTTGAGAGGGGAGGAAATTGTTGTATTTTTCGTGATGGTGATACTAGTTTAAGGAGAGCAAGGAGTTGGGAGAGTAAACGAAGAAAGAAAGAAAAGAGAAACAGTTGTGTTAAGTGTTTTCATAATAGTAATGATGAGTGTGATGATGCTAAGAGTTATATAAGAAGATTAGCTCGTAGTAAAAGGAGATGAAGAAGAAAGAAAAAGAGGAAAACAACAGCTTCCAGATTTGTTTTTACGGATTATCAACCCTTTGAAGGTTATTTAAAGTAGGAACATATTTTAGATTGTAAAAATAATTCTTTTTTTGTGACAATTTTTTTTTTTTTTTTGAGAATTACAATTTTTCCAGCTACAAGCCCTACTATTTAACCCATAGCTGGGGAGGGAAGAGATGGATTCATACCTTTCCCAAGGGTATTTGTACGTTAGCGAATGTAACGAACCAGACTGGAATTCGAACTCGACTCAAATTTTTATTACACCACCCGCACATCCACAAGAGAACAACAAACTGAGGAGGTAAAAAAAAACAAAGGACCAAGGTAAGAACGCCATAAAGAGTAAGAAGAAGAAGAAGAAAACACAAGGAGGATAAAGAAGAAGAAAAAGAAGAAAACACAAGGAGGATAAAGAAGAAGAAGAAGAAAACACAAGGAGGATAAAGAAGAAGAAGAAGAAGAAGAAGAAGAAGAAGAAGAAGAAAACACAAGGAAGAAGAAGAAGAAAACACAAGGAGGATAAAGAAGAAGAAGAAGAAGAAGAAGAAGAAGAAAACACAAGGAGGATAAAGAAGAAGAAGAAGAAGAAGAAAACACAAGGAGGATAAAGAAGAAGAAGAAGAAGAAGAAAAAGAAGAAAACGTGAAGAATTAGATGAAGAAGAAAACCCGAGGAAAATACAGAAGTTATGGAAACGAACAAGAGATATTGCAAGAATTTAATTACAGCTGAATACTAAAGACATAGATATGGGTATATGGTATGTGTGTGTGTCTTTCTGCATGCGTTTAACTGTGACTGTGTGAGTTTGTATTAATGGATGAGTTTGCGTATAAACCTATCTAGCGCATGTGTGTGGTAGAAAGCAATCTCAAATAAAAAAAGAGAAGTGAAGAGGAAAAAATTTAACAAGTTTACTTAAAAGATGATGATGTTGGCGGTGATAAGATGCGTGTATGCATACACATACACACATATCTGTGTATATGAAGCTGATAAAGGGAAGAATGTGGTGGGTGGGGCATGTAGTTGGGTGGATGCTCGAGGTGGATGCTTTAGGTAAACGTTGGGTAGAGTGAACTAATGACAGGTCGATAGATATGGGAATAGATTTCGATAGATATGGGAAAATTTATATATATATATATATATGATACAGATATCAATAGATATGAGAACTGATTTCGATATATACACAGATATGGAAAGAGATCGATAGATATGGGGATAGATAGATAGATTATGAGAAGAGATTTAGATAGATATGGGGAAAATTTAGATATATATATATATATATATATATATATATATATATATATATATATATATATATGATACAGATATCAATAGATATGAGAACTGATTTCGATATATACACAGATATGGAAAAAGATCTAGATAGATATGGGGATAGATAGATAGATATAAGAGATTTCATAGATAGATATGGGGAACAGATTACGATAGATAGCTAGATATGGGAACAGATTACGATAGATAGCTAGATATGAGAACAGATTTCGATAGATAGCTAGATATGGGAACAGATTTCGATAGATAGCTAGATATGAGAACAGATTTCGATAGATAGCTAGATATGGGAACAGATTTCGATAGATAGCTAGATATGAGAACAGATTTCGATAGATAGCTAGATATGGGAACAGATTTCGATAGATAGCTAGATATGAGAACAGATTTCGATAGATAGCTAGATATGAGAACAAATTTAGGCAGATAGATCCGGGAACAGACGTCTTGAGCCTTATTCGGTAACCTTCCTAGAAATGATGTCCCAAGAAAACCGCCCAGCCGCCTCTGCTGTGAACAAATAATAGGAGTGTTTTGGGTCGACTATCATCCCCCGGACCGCACTCCTTCCATGCTTACTGAAAAGGAGTATGGATTTATCCATTGTTCCCTGTTTAGAATATGGTTTACCGGTCCTTCTTTTCTTTTTATTCCATGACCATAATGATTTATCTATCTAACATTTTGGTTGATCTGACTATTCACTGGCTGCGACTCTTCGTTATGAGAATGCCGAGTTGGCATTTTTCTGGTGGCGACATCCGACTGGTAGTAAGGAGCCAGACTCTTTGGTAGCACTTAGAGCGTCTGCTCTGATCAACAGTCGCTTAATATCGTGGTATCTGTGGTGATATATTACACATTGGTAGGTGTCCCTGCATGTATGTCCGGTGGTCAAACCTGAGGCTACATTATGTTTCAGTTCCAGCCCCGTTGTAACTAGTTTGTATTGCCATTGGTGATAGTGATAATTATTTTGGCCTTTTTCCTCCTCAAAACAAAATATCCTTATGATTGATACAATTAAAAAAAACCAAAACATGAGAAAACCAGTAAACAAAGAATCACCTACCCCACCAATCTTTCTTTCTTCAATATTCGTGATATCCGTTCCAATTTCTGCAGTGTAGAATCTCTTCTTTTGAAATGGTTACCAAATATTTTCGCACTTTGTGAAACAAATTTAAATTCTTCCATCGCTATCAATGAATTATATGCTCCAGGCTATCTTTCTCTTTACCCAAAAGATTCTAAGACATATAGTGATTTTCCAAGCGTAGCTTAGATGTGGCACAAGGCCGAAATTAGGGGGTACCCAGTGAGGATCGAACTCACTACTCAGTCGTAATTGTTCTAGCGAGCCAAGCTTGCTAACCATTACACCGCCTCGAGATACCCTGATTCGAAGATATATATATATATGGACTGGGTGTTCATATCCTGAAAAATCTGCCAGTAACAAGGGAATTGTTCCTCGAGTCCCCAGATAATTCTTTCATGTGCTTTCGTCTTTTGTTATTGCCATCCGTTAGCTATCTTCTTTTTTCTTTTCTTTATCACTCTCCCTCTTCTCAGGACTGCAATATATTAGACAAAATTTCTGACAGTATAGAATTCTCTATCCCTCTCTCTCTCTTAATCTTTGATCATTTTTGTGTTTGGTGATATTATTGATAATCATGACATGTGGCTTTCTAATGTTACTGATGTTACCATTATTCAGATAATCAGTTTTTCTGTTGCTCTCTTTCATGCAAATAGTGGATTTGCCTACACTAAATAAATCTGATCAACATGTTTCCTTACCTCCTCTCCAAGCTTTTGTCGAGCATCGCAACTCTGTTCTCTTGACAATTCGGCTCACGTTGTAGGATCTGTTGATTCTCTTTTCAGTCGTCGGATAGACAGGAACCTCTTATTCACAAGACTTCTCTCTATTACCAGCATACTGATGCGTTTATTAACTTTCTTCGAGAAATTCCCTTGGATTGATCTTCTTAACCTTCCGATTGAGAAATGTGCCACTGAGGTTTCTGCTTGGGTTAAAGCTAACATCGAAGCTTTTGTGCTTTCTGGGAAATACCAGGTGAAGCTACAATGTGTCACATAGGCCTGTTCAGCCACTACTGTCCGCAGGAATCTATTTTTCTAGCAATACCAGCGTGACAGTTTTGATCACAAAAGCCTATTTGTACCTGCGGGTAATGATTGTAAACGTTGCCTTGAAGCGGAAGTCTTTGCTGATAGAATGGGGCACCGTATAGCCTCTAACAAAAATGGTTCACGTGACTACTGGTGGCTATTTAATAGCGTGTTAAATAAGCGTTAAGTTCTCCATCCCTCCTCTATTCACTCAGTTTGATAGATGTTATCTTCTACTGATAAAGCAGTCGTAAATTCTCTTCTACTCTTGACTCATCTAGAGTATCCTTGCCTGACTTTCGCCTTAGAACTGAATCTCTGTTGAGTGATATGTATATAACTCGGTCTGTAGTTTCTGCCATTGTCTCTACATGGAACGCCACAAAGCATGTGGACCTGATGATATCCCTGAAATAATTCTGAAGAAATGTGCTCCTGAACTGGTTCCTCTTCTCTCAAAGCTCGACAATAAGTTCCTGGCTGCGTCATGCTTTCCGACTTGCAGGAAATCCTCTTCCAGTCTTTAAGAACTCAGGTGAACCGTCGGATCCCTCTAACTATCGGTCTATTAGCATTTTACCGCTTTTTGGCAAAGTAAAAGAAGCCATAATCAACGCTGAAATGATAAAGCATTTCATATCGCAGGGTCTTCTTTCAGATAAACAGTATAGCCTTCGCTTCTCTAGGTCAACTGTTGATGCGTTAACGATTATTACTAAAATAGTCTATCAAGCTTTAGATACGAACAGTGAAGTTCCGGCTGTTGCTTTGGAGATCTTAAAAGCATACCGGCCCTCTTTACAAATTGAAAACGGAAATGGGATTTCTGGACGAATTTTTGAACTGATTCAGTCTTTCTTATCAATTCACGAAATGAAGGTTGTTTTGAACGGCCACTCTTCTAGATCCTTCTAAATTAATGCAGTTGTCCCGCAACGCCCTATCCGTTTCAAATATACATCAGTGATCTCCCTGGTGGCAGCGGTTCTCAACTCGATATCTATACAAATGATACAACTATTTACTTCCGTTTCAATAGTAAGTCTGATCAGTTCGATGCGATCAAATTGGTAGTTAATCTCAAACATGACCTACAATCTACTGTTATCTGGGGCAATGAATGGTTTGTTAATTTTAACGCCTCCAAAACAAAACTGCTCTCTATCAATCATCAGAGACACCTTTTTGCCTGCTGTCAGCATGGCTGATGCTAACCTCCAGTAGAGTGACGCGTTGCGCCTTCTCGGGCTAACTTTTCCGCTGTTATGAATTGGGAAGATTATATTGAATCAATTTCTAGGTCTGTTATAAAACTACTATTCGTAGATGCTTTGAATATTGTAACATATGGTTTATTGCTCCTGCTATATATTTAGAGATTCTTGATAAAAACCAAGGAAGAATCTGTAATGTTATTGGTCCTGACCTGGTATCTCGGCTTCAGTCACTTTTTACCAACGTAATATAGCTTCCTTGTCTAGAAATACTTCCATGGTAATTGTTCTAATGAATTTTCCTCTGTGGTACCTAGACTTTTTGTATTTAAATGCTGCACTAGACTGGTGGCAAGGTCTCATGATTTTACAGCTGAAATGGAAAGATGTAACCTAAGTTCTATGCTGACAGTTTCTTCTCTCACACTTCTCGTTTGTGGAACACTCTTCCGGTTTAACGATTCCCAGTCAACTTTCATCTTCAAACATTCAAGTGCAGTGTCAATCGTTATCTTATGTCTTCTTAATAGTATTATTCATCACATTCTCTGACACACAGTAAGAATTTGCGACTTCGGGGCGCTATTGCATTGTTTGGGGTAAAATGATAGAAAAGATAGATATGAGAACATATTTAGACAGGTAGAAAGAAAGAACAGGAAAGAGATTTCAATAGATAGAAACGGGAAGATAGATTGATTGATTGATTGATACAGGAAGTGATTTTGATAGATAAATAGATAGACTGAAATGGGAAGACACGTTCATAGACAGACTGAAATGTGAAGATATGTCGATAGATTGATCGAAATTGTAGTGGGCCGTGGCTGTGATGTTGTGAAGTCAGACGTAGAAGAAACGCATGTAAGGTTCAGATTCTCCTGCTCGCCGGGCCCAACTACATAAAAAGGTTGGACTTTGATTAAGTCCAAAGAAGAAGGCAAAGAAAACAAACAAAACACAAGACCGATAATATATGTATATACAAATATATATTAATAACAAGTTACAATACATGGAAACAGTACAAAGGATGAAGTGTATGGGAATATTCTGTATGTGCGTGCGTGCGTGTGTGAATATTCTGTATGTGCGTGTGTGTGTATTGTGCTTAGCGTGTTCCCACTCTATCCCTTGTTAGCGCCTACATTTCGAGGTTGATAGCTGAAATCCTGAGGAAAAAGAGAGATTTACCTCAAGGTGTCGGCGCACAGGCCTGAAGGAAAAAAAAAGAGAGATAGAGGCGAAGGGTCAGCGGCTATTTATAGCCAGGGAAGAGAGACCCCTGGTGAAAGGGTTAATGTACTAAAGGAGGAGTTAACTCCGACAAAATGGAAAGATATTTCATGTATTGATTGAAATGAAAAGAGATTTCGATGGATTGTTTGAAATGAAAAGATGCTTCGATGGATTGATTGAAATGGGAAGAATTTTCGATGGATTAATTAAAATGGGAAGAATTTTCGATGAATTGAGAGAGAATAAACAAACGTGTTACAAACTACTCGGGAGCAATTTACACACTATATTTACTGTATCTCCCCACTAAGACGAGTTGTGACACAAGGGCTTTTTATGGCAGGACCCCAAGCACATACAATCGGGCAAGGAACAAAAATTGGCCGCAACGCCAGCAACCGTCGGTTGCGCTGGCCTCGGTGCGAGCACCGATCACTCTCTCTGGTGCAATGAGAGGGCGCGGCCTCGAGCAGCTGTTCCCCAGGGCTGGGCACCTCTCAGTATAATTTTCCTCAGTTGCGATTCTGTCCTTTGACGGAGTCACCCTGAGTGCATTCTGCCCAAGGACAGAGACGCAACTGAGAGATGATAAATAGATGTGTTACAAACCCCTCGAGGGAAGGGTTTACACACTAAAAGCTCAATAAAAGTTTATTTCATTAATTAACTGTCCTTCATTCTTTTATTCGACGATTGTTTTGATTTTCATATCAAAAATAGTTCTGTTTAGGAATATCTTCTTATGTAGTACAGAAAAGTGTTTGAAATTTTTATTTTAATTGGCCTTCAACAAGTCGGCATCTATTTGTAAAACTTTCCTTAACTATAATAAGCCAATTTATGAATGAAATGTTCATTTAAAATTTTTGTTTCAAAGATTAAAAGTAGTAAATATACCTTACTTTACGAAGCGATAGCGACGGGCGAAGCCTGCTAGTCTATATATAAAATTCTGTGACTTCTGTTAGTCTATCCGTGAAATCCTCTAAAATAGCCATACATTGACCGATCGAAACCAAATTTTGGGGAGAAGTGCAGACTGGTAAGGGGGTACAAAGTATAGTTGGTTTTACTCAGGTGCGTAGCTTAGTACTATAAATTTTCATTTATTTTTTTGGAAAAATTATAAGTTTTATTATTTAGCATACAAAATCCTCCCACTATTTAAAAAAAAAAATACAATTTAATGATTGAAATAACACTTATTTCATGAAAATGCAATATTATTTTTTTGCATATCTTTTAAGTTTTTATATATATACAACAATCCAGTTTAGAGTTTTCCCTGCGTTTGTGAGAACTCTAAACAAATCACAAGGCGAAACGCTTCAAAAAGATGAAATTTGGCACCAGAAAGAAATATTTACGCATGGTCAGTTGTATGTTGCATGCTCAAGAGTAAGAAATCCTAAGAATTTATTCTTCGCTGTTAAAAAGGAAAAAAAAAAAATTTTCTTTAAAAAATTTTGTTTACCATGAAGTCTTATAAAATTAAATTAAAGAAATTAATAAACCACGAAGTAGGGTTTTTGTCAAATTATTTTGTTTAAATTCCCAGCTTATTAAAATTGCATCGACTGGTTTGCTAAATTAGACGAATTGTAGAGTTTGTTAATCTCGACAAAAATGTTAGCGATAACATCAACAATATAAAATGTCGTGAGGATTTCAACCTGCGTCAGTGGGTTGCCAAAAAATTCTAGTCTATAACAGACACAAATGTTTAGTTTTGGTTTCATTTGTTTTACAGTATATCAAACTCAATGGGTTATTTAATGCCGATAACTTTTTTTTCCTGGTAATATTTTGTTTTGTCAAAAATCTATTTCTGGTAATATTTTTCTCCTGAAAAATGTATAGCTGGTAATATTATTTTAAAAAAAATGTGCTGCTGGTAATATTTTTTTTCAAAAACGTATTGCTGGTAATATATTTTTTTTTTCAAAAATATATTGCTGGTAATAGTTTTTTTTTCTTCAAAAATTTATTGCTGGTAATAATTTTTTACAAAGTATTTCTGGTATTAAAATCTATTTTTACTCTTTCATAATGCTTTTTACCTCAATTTCGGGGTTAACCATTTACCCATAGCTAGGACGCTAGTAGGTGCTACCACCCCGGGTCAGGGTGGACCTGGGAACCCCAACAATTAAGAGGTGGTTTCACGCTCCTTAAAACCTCCTGATCAGAGGCCTTGCTGTTGGACGTAGTTTATCGTCTTACTCTGGACGCGTATGTAGTTTATCGTCATGCCCAGGACGAGACACAAATGTGATGCTTTTTTTGCTTCATATGTAAGGTCTGTGTTTAACTTTGAAATCACAGAACTGAAATGTTTATTGTGGATGTATGTTTATATTTTATTATATTTTGTACTCCATCTGCGTATTATTATTATTATTATTCATTTTGTCAAAATATACTTGCTTCCAATGATTTCAGATCTACGTTACACGCTTTGAATATTGGGAAAAATATTTGTCCACAGCTATTTGCATTTACCAAATGTCGCTTTCTTACTGGTCATTTCGTCTGGTGGACGAATCTCCCTAAAAGAGTGTCTTCGTTTGCATACCTACCGTAATGAATCGGTTGGTGATCGACCCCATCACCAAAAAACAACTCTAGGTCTGTTCAAGATGGCGGATATTAAGCTGATAGGATCTGTCTATATTTCTGAGATGAGGTATTATGTACATTATTTGCATTATTTGGACTATTGTCCTCATCTTTGTCGCCATATTTATTACAACGTTTCGGCCGTTGTACGCTCCGGCCTTCTTCAGGTGGTTGAAATGTCGAACTGAACCCTTTATTTCGCTCACTGGGTTAGACCGTTCTAGTTCCACGTGCTATGTTTAATGGATGTCAGTTATCAGTTATTTCCTGTTAATTTTCCCTCTGAAAGATCTGCACTGCCTTAACTGTGTATTGAACCACATATGGGGAGAGAATGGAGATCACTGCTCTATGTGGGATAAGGTTGAGATTATACACAAAGAACACTATTGGAAAATTTGTAAACTTAAGGAATCAGCACATATGCTAGGCCACAAAAATCTCCTGAGCCGACCAAGCATAGAAATGAATACAATATGGGAACCAGTAATAAGGAATGCCAGAGAACAGCGATAATAACAACAAAAATAGCAACTTATAACTTCAGTTATCTCTCTGGTAAAAACATGATGATAACTGCAAAAATTGCAATATGAGCACTTGTAAAAAATGGTTTCTGAAGACATTAGGTTTATAATACCCAGAAATTCATACACAGATGTCCTCAATGACACATGGCATTGGTTAAATCCAGTGACAGGACCCAAAATAGTGTGAGTTCAATATCCGGTTATGGCAGTGCAGATGGAAATTAACAGGAGATAACTGATAACTAACATCCATTAAACATGGAAAGTGGAACTAGAATAGTCTACCCCAGTGAGCAAAATAAAGGGTTCAGTTCGATATTCCAACCACCTGAAGAAAGCTGGAGCGTACAACGGCCGAAACGTAATAAAAAGATGAGGACAATAGTCCAAATAATGTAAATAAGCTGATAGGAATATTACTCTCTTACCTGAAGATCCTTATCCCATTCCTGGTTACTTTTATTCCAAGCCAAAAATATCTCAAGTGACCCCTACCACGCCCCAATCTATTTTCCTATTCTAAACCTACCGAAAAGTTGAAACTATTGACCATAAAATAATACAGCTTCACATGCAGAGTCTGTCTTTAACTTTTGAAATTTTGCCGCTAAAAACCACAAGAGCCACTATTTCCGTTCATATCAACGTGGCAGTTTCCATCATAACAGATGCCTATTAGTGGTTGCACGTAATAAATATAAACGCGTCATCGAAGGAGATAAGTCTGTTTGCTGAGAGAATGCGACACCGTATTGCATTTCACAACTTGAGCTCTCGTGATTACTGGATGCTCTGTAATAGTGTAATAAAATAATTGCTGTTGTTCTTAGGTCCATCCAGACCCGGGCGCGGTAGCATCTCTTAGTTTTTTAGTAGAGAGCTACTCCTGTATATAAACAACATCCGTCAGCAAGGCTTCTGATCAGGAGTTTGGAGGTTTTAAGGGGCGTGGAAAAACCAATTAATTGCTGTTATTTTCAGGTCCACTCACACTCGGCGTGGTAGCATCTGTTAGGGTCTCAGCTATAGACAAATAGTGAACTATGCATTTTTATAGTAAAAATACCAGCATTACATTTTTGAAAAAAAATTACCGACGATACATTTTATCTGTAGTTAAAGGCATAAAATTGTGTTCGAAATATTTAGATTTTGGCATTAAATAATCCATAGAGCTGTTGATAAGCCGCTAAATAAAATCAACCAACAATTGAATATGAGGCATGGGGATTTACTTCCCAGAATGGTCTTGTTTAATAAACGTTTGTTTGTCTTGTCGCTTTCAAAGGCTTCCTCTTGTGAAGCTATGTGCTATCATGCTATTGCCGGAAACATTCTTGGAACTCGTTTTCAGGAATACCTTTCCATAATCTAGTCCCATGTTGTAAGATATCGGTGATGTCTGCAAATCTTTGTTCTTTCAGACCACACTACGTCGCTATAGCCCACAGGAATGACTATTTCCGGCTATACCGGCGTGATAGCTCCTATCACAACAGACGCCTATTCGGGGTTGCACGTAATAAATGTAAACGTGTCCGTGAAGGAGCTAAGTCTCTGTTTGTTGAGAAAATGAGGCACCGTATTGCATATAACAAATTTGACTCTCGAGATTACTGGCGGCTGTGTAATAGTGTATTAAATAAGAATATATTTTCCATTCCTCGTCTCTTAAATCAATTTGAGATGTTAATATCTTCTGCTGTCAGAGCTGCATGTTTCGCCCATAAATTCTCCTTAAATTCCATTCTTGACTCAGCAGATGCATTCTTGTCTAACTTCCTACTTGGAAATGAGTCTCTGTTGAATGATAAGCATAAAACTCCGTCTATGGTTTCTGCTATCATCTTTAATCTGGATCCCCGCAAACTATATAGACCTGATGGTATATCTGTAATAGTCCTTAAGAAATGTACTCCCGAACTGGCTTCTGTTCTCTCTAAACTGTATAATAAATGCCTCACTGCCTCTTGTATCCCTGTCTGATGGAAATCGTCATCTGTTGTCCCAGTTTTCAAGAATTCAGGCGAACCGTCCAACACTTCCAGCTATCGGCTTATTAGACGTCTACCTATTTTAGGGAAACTACTAGATGCCATAATCAATGCTGAATTGGTTAAGCATCTCAAATCGCAGCAAATGAGAGTAACTTGTCTATACCTCCTCTCTTCAATCAATTTGAGATATTTACATCTGCTGATAAAGCAGAATATTTCACCTGTAAATTCTTCTTGAACTCTACTCTTGACTCATCTATAGTATCCTTGCCTAACTTAGAACTGAGTTCCCTGTTGAGTGATATGCATATAACTCCTTCTATGTGTTCTGATATCATCTCTAATCTAGGTCAACACAAAGCATGTAGACCTGGTGATATCCCTGTAATAGTCCTCAAGAAACGTGCTCCCGAACTGGCTCCTGTTCTCTCTAAACTGTATAATAAATGCCTCTTGCTTTCCTATTTCTTGGGAATCCTCATCTGTTGTTCCAGTCTTTAAAAACTCAAGTGAAACATCCAACCGTTACAACTATCGGACTATTAGTCTTCTACCGCTTCTTGGTAAATTACTAGAATCCCTAATCAATGCTGAATTAGTTAAGCATCTCACAAAGTCAATGTATTATCGATTATTACGGAAAGAGTCTATCAACCTTTAGATAAGAATGGTGAAGCTCGGGCTGTTGCGTTGGATATCTCGAAAGCGTTCGACAGGGTTTAACATACGGGTATCCTTCACAAGTTGAAAAGTTATGGTGTTTCCGGACACATTTTTGAACTGATTCAGTCTTTCTTATGAAATCGTGAAATGAAAGTGGTCCTGAACGGCCACTCTTCTAGATCCTTTTCTACTAATCTTTCACTCCAGAATCTATCTTACATATCTATAAATATACCATTCGCCTATGCTTAGAATATTGATGCTACATATGGTACGATGCTCCTGCTATTTATTCAGAAGTCTTTGTTAAAATCCAAAGGAGAATCAGCAATATTATTGGTCCTGACATGTCATCTCGGTTTCAGTCCCTTCCCACCAACGTAAAGTTGCTTTCCTGTCCCTTTTCTATAAATAATTTGTTCAGATGAGCTCTTTGCTATGGCACATAGACTTTATGAATTTAAGTACAGTACTAGATTAGCAACAAGGTCTCATCAATTATAGTTGAATTGGCTAGATGTAACGCTATGCTAATAGTTTTATTTTTTTGCACTTCTTGCTTGTGGAACTCTCTTCAGGCTTCATGCTTTCCGGCCAACTTTGATTTTCAAAAATTTAAATGCAATGTCAATCGTTATTGTTTTCCTGATTACTCTTCAATTGTTCTCACTCCTTCACAATGTTTTCTGTTTTCTAATCCGTTGGCACCTAGTAACCCCTTGTGTCTTAGTGGCTTTACAGCGTTCTTTGGGGTAAATGCGATTGGAAATTAAAAAAAAAACAACAACATATATCTGAGAGATAGAGTCTGGTAAATAAGTAGATATAGATATGAAGAAAGATTGATACGAGAAGACAAAATAGGTAGATACTAGATAGATAATGAACATCCTTAGAGAAATAATGAACATACATCGATATGTAGATAAATAATGAACTGACTTAGATACATACGTAGATAGATCGTGAACAGGATTAGATACATACAAACACACACAAACACATTATATATATATATATAATGAACAGACTTAGAGTGATAGATTATAAACTGATGTAATTAGATAGAGAGAAAGATAATGAACAGTGGTTACGGGAAGCACAAGGCAGTGTGGTATTGGGGCGATGGATGACAGAAGGTCTGGATATATAATAGCAAACGCATTCTTGCTATCTCGACATATGGAAGAGTTCAACAGGAAAAAGAAGCAATTGCATGTGTGGTCATTTGGTTCCCTCCAAATTCCTGGGGTTGCGAATTTGATGGCACTATTTTTCACCACATCCAGGTCACAAAAGCATGGCTTGAAGGGAATAATTGACATTACCTTTGCTTTATAGACAGAAGTAATTAGAAAATAACACTTATTGACTAAAGACAAAAATGTCAAAAATTTGTTTTGTCATGAAAAGAGTGAGATAATGAACATAGATAGATTATGAATAGACATAGATAGATCGATTGATAAATAAGAAACATATATAGCTGAGGAACAGACATAGAGAGATAGATAAGGAACAGATATAAATAGAAAGATAGATATGGAACAGACATAGATAGATAAGGAACATACATATATATATATATATATATATATATATATATATATATAGATAGATAGATAGATAGATAGATAAGGAACAGACATAGATAGATAGATAGATAGATAGATAGATAGATAGATAGATAGATATGATGGATGGATGGAAACAGAGATAGATAGATAGATAGATATGAACAGAGATAGATAGATAGATAGATAGATAGATAGATAGATAGATAAGGATGGATGGAGAGATAGATGGATGATAGATAGATAGATAGATAGATATGATAGATATAGATAGATAGATAGATAAGGAACAGAAAATAGATAGATAGATAGATAGATAGATAGATAGATAGATAGATAATTAACAGACATAGATAGATAGATAGATAGATAGATAGATAGATAGACATAGATAGATAGAAATAGATAGATAGATAGATAGATAGATAGATAGATAGATAGATAGATAGATAGACTTAGATAAGGAACAGAGATAGATAGATAGATAGATAGATAGATAGATAGATAGATAGATAGATAAGGAAACAGAGATAGATAGATAGATAGATAGATAGATAGATAGATATAGATAAGGAACAGAGATAGATAGATAGATAGATAGATAGATAGATAGATAGATAGATAGATAGATAGATAGATAAGTATCAGATATAGTTAAGGAACAGTCAAAATTTTGTTTTGTCATGAAAAGACTTAGATAAAGAACAGAGATAGATAGATAGATAGATAGATAAGGAACAGACATAGATAGCAGTCAAAATTTTGTTTTGTCATGAAAGGACTTAGATAATTAACAGACATAGCTAGATAGATAAGGAATAGATATAGGTATATAGATAAGGAACAGACATAGATAGATAGATAGATAGATAGATAGATAGATAGATAGATAGATAGATAGATAAGGAACAGACATAGTTAAGGAGCAGTCAAAATTTTGTTTTGTCATGAAAAGACTTAGATAAAGAACAGACATGGGTAGATAAGGAACAGAGATAGATAGATAGATAGATAGATAGATAGATAGATAGATAGATAGTCAACAGACATAGATAGATAGTCAGTAAATTTTTTTTTTGTCATGAAAAAGAACAGGATAATTAACAGATATAGGTATATAGATAAGGAACAGACATAGATAAGCAACGGAGATAGATAGATAGATAGATAGATAGATAGATAGATAGATAGATAGATAGATAGATAAGGAACAGACATAGATAGCAGTCTAAATTTTTTTGTCATGAAAAGACTTAGATAATTAACAGATATAGGTATATAGATAAGGAACAGACATAGATAAGCAACGGAGATAGATAGATAGATAGATAGATAGATAGATAGATAGATAGATAGATAGATAGATAGATAGATAAGGAACAGGCATAGATAGCAGTCAAAATTTTGTTTTGTCATGAAAGGACTTAGATAATTAACAGACATAGCTAGATAGATAAGGAATAGATATAGGTATATAGATAAGGAACAGACATATACACATAGATAGATAGATAGATAGATAGATAGATAGATAGATAGATAGATAGATAGATAAGGGACAGACATAGATAAGGAACAGTTATAGAAAGATAGATATTGAACAGACAGAAAGATGGATATTGAACAGAGAGAGACATAGATAATGAACAGACAGACAGAGATATAAAGAGAGATAACGAAAAAAAAAACAAAATATGTAGAGATTACAAAAAGACTTAGATAAAGAGAGGGAGATAGATAACGAACAGACAGATACTTATGTTAGATAGACAGGTAGATAACGACGAGACAGATAACGAACAGACTTAGGTAATGAACAAACACATGCATAGGTATATAGATAATGATCAGGCATATAGATACATAATGGATAGATAGATGTATAGATAGATAGATAGATAGATAAGGAGGAAGTAATATCAACTGTACAAAGTTATGACGAAATTAAGGGATAAATATGAGGTTGTCCAAACTGCTGCTGCTGCTGCTGATGATGATAGTGGCAATAGTAGCGGGTAGGGATGATGGTGACATTGCCGGGTTGAGAAGTGTTAATAACGACAGAGAGATTAAATAGAAAGCGTAAGGAAGAAAGATCACGCAGGGATTTAATGTGGATTTGTGCAGAAAATCAAGCCTGATTAACGTTCCGTTGCTAATGATAATGGGTGGGTGTTTTGGAGGGTGAAATGGTGGTAGCGTAAGTGGAACTGACAGATTAAGAATTAAATGTAAAGGAGAAAGAGAGAAAAATATCGTTGCAATATACGAGAGAGACAGAGAGAAAGATGTATAGAGAGAGTGAGAAAGAAGAAGAAGGAAATGAAAATTCAGGCCGATGATATATTGATAACACTGGTGGCTAAAAGAATGTGAAAAAAAATGCGTAACATCTAGAAACGTAACCCGGACACACAAACAATATTGAGAGCATAGAGGCGATAACAATAATATGATGAATGTATTAATGGCGATCTGGGACTATGATGAACAGCAGTGCTACATTTTGATCAGTTGAGCAGTGGTGTGGATGACAAAAATAATGCTGTCTATATTTCTGACATGAGGCATTATGTACACTATTTTATTCAGACTATATCGTCCTCCTCTTTGTTAAGAATATATTTATCACAAAAAGAAACTGTTGTACGTTCTGGCCTTCTTCAGGTGGTTGGAATGTCGAACTGAACATTTTATTTCGCTCACTGGGGTAAGCTTCTAGTTCCATGTCAATTATCAGTTATCTCCAAAAATTCCCTCTCCAAAAACTTAACCCGGTATTGAACTCAAAGTTTGATCCTGTCATTGGATCAAACACAGGCGTTAGTTAGATCCAATGACAGGACCTAAAGAGTGTGAGTTTAATACCTGGTTAAATGAATGGCGGAGAACTGGAGAAAAAAGAATTAACAGGAGATAACTGATAACTGACATCCATTAGACATGGCACATGGGACTAGAAACAGTCTTTTTTACATTGAGGAGCGAAATAAAGGGTTCAGTTCGACATTCCAACCATCTGAAGAAGGCCGGAGCGTACAACGGCCGAAACATTGTGATAAATATGGTAACAAAAATGAGGACAATAGTCCGAATAATGAAAAGAAAAATACTTTTTCAATATAGAAACAATATGGCGGATGATGCCGATGAAGCAACTGTAGGGAATCATGAAGGCAACAAGAATAATACAGATTGATTGAAAAGTTACTCCCTATTTTATGTATGAGTAGACAACCTGGAGTCTTGACTTAACACCCATAATTTTCTCTTTGAGGTTGGTTAAAGGAGTATGTCTACTATTTCAAATCAAGACGTTGGAAGAACTTGAAGAGTGAATACAAGATGTCTTCCATACCAATAGAGCTCCTGGTGAAATCAGTTAACACAATTCCCGTGTGTTTTGAGAAGCTGGTACCGAAATCTGGTGCCCATATATAATTTTAAATAAAACCTCATGCTAAACGCGTCCCTCTCATATTCATTTCTTGTAAAAATTATAGTTAATACATAAATTATAAGTATTTTAAAATAGGGATGTACTTTTCAATTATCTTGTCTTTTCCACAAATATTTTCACGGTAACTGCTCCGACGAGCTATTTTCGCTAATTCACAAACTGCATGAACTTAAACAGGCCACTAGGTCGGCATTTCATCCCACCCTTTCACTGCTGAAACGGTTAAATGTAGCCGTCTCTTCTACTCCAACAGCTTCATGTCTCACACTTCCCGTCTGTGGAACTCCCTTCATCTTACTTGCTTCCTTGATGGCTATAATCTCCAACTATTCAAATGCAATGTCAGTCGACATCTCCAGATGCCTTGATCTATTCCCCGTCCTTCTCTTTACCTCTTTTCTCTTTCACGCCTCTTTATTCTTGCTCCCACTTTCTGTAACCCCTTGCGTGCTTGTGGCACTCCCACCTTGCTTGGAGTGAAAAGATTAAAAAAAAAAAAAAGAAGTAAATTTGCTTTTCAACACCCGCGCTAAATATCTCTTAAAATTTTCCCAAATCGTCATAATTCTGTGTAAATGTACATGCTGAACTAGATATTAAATAGCAAGAGGACCAGACTAAATGTGGCAGCAATATTCAATACATTGACGGATGGTAGATTTATAATCATGGAAGATGGATTTTGGCAATAGAAATTATCTGGCACGACACAGTGAACCGTCTTTCCTGGTAGCAGACCTAGCAATTGATTCAATATAATCATTCCACTTCATGTCAGTGGACAATGTGAGGCCAAGAAGGTGCAATGATCTGCACTCCGAGAAGTTAGGATCAGATAAACACAAAACCTATCAGTGGCTGAAGATTAAAAGCAGCGACGGGGGCATTTAGAATGACTGCACAACATTACGGGCAATTCACCAGAGATTACCAGGCAAACATAATAAACAATAATGCAAACCAAATATGTAAATTATGTAAACAACATGTAGAGATTATTGACTGTACAATTCTGACACCAAAGGAACGCAAAGATCGACATAAGTCTGGTATATTATAGAAGATATTCTATATTGAAAAATCACATGAAAATCACACCGAACCAGTTTTTGAAGTCTGTAAATTAATTATTCGTTGGAACTTTGTCTTTAAGACTAGACGAAGTGACTGAAGACGACAAAAATTGCCTTCTCAACAATATGGCAGTGTCATAAAAATTAAATACTAGGCGGCAAGTTCTCGTCATTTTACAGCTAAAATGGCTAGATGCAACCGTAAGTTCTATGCGAACAGTTTCTTTTCTCGCACTTCTCGCTTGTGGAACTCTCTTCCGGTTCTTGCTTCACAGTCAAGTTTAATCTTCAAAAATTTAAATGCAACGTCGATCGTTATCTTCTATCTTCTGAATCCCTGTTTTTTTTTATTGTTCTCTTTCCTTAATAGTGTTTGTTTTCTCTCTCATATTCTCTCACACTCAGTGACTCCTTTGCATCTTAGTAGCTTCATTGCCTTGCTTGGAATGAAATGATTAAGACAAATGTGTGTTAAAAATATATCAGAATAAGTAAATAAATTTCAAAAAAAGGAGTAAAATTGAAACTACGTTTCTTTTTTGTTTTTTTATAAAATCATTTCATCCCCAAGCAAGGCAGGTATGTTGCTAGTAGATTACAGGGAGTGAATGTGAAAGGGAAAACTGAGAATAGGGAGGACTGAGGAAAAACAAAAAACAAAAAAAACAAAAGATGGGCGGGATTTGAGAAGATAGAAGATGACAATTGACATTGCATTTAAATCGTTGAAGATTGTAGCTATCAGGGAAGTTAGTAAACGGAAGGCAATTCCGCAGGCGGGAAGTACAAGAAAAGAAACTGTTCGAAAAGAAGTGGCGGTTGCATTTAGCTATTGCAATAGTAATCAGGTGGAACGTAGATGCCGATCTAGTAGCAGGCTTAAATTCATGTAGTTGAGGCACCAGAGAAGAAAAACGTCCGTCAGAGTAGTTACCATGAAAATATTTGTAGAAAAGACAAAAGGAAACCACGTCAGGTTTGTAAGAAAGTTACTGAAATCGAGATGCTAAGTCAGAATCGATTACATTGTTATTGTTATAGCTATAATTGGAGCCCTGAATACTACCAAAAATGCAACAGACCGGAATATTAATAAGATCTCTGGTAACCAGTTTACAAGAGACTTTTTAAAAGTGAGTCGTGAAACCGCTCATCTATTCAAGAGATTATTATCAATGTAAAGGAAATATAAACACTATACATGTTAAATATCACTTTTAGTATTAAGAATTTGGGAAAAGAGAACGCAAGTATGCATTACCTTGTCTTACCGCAGGTTTCGTGTAATGACCCGGTAAAGAGTTGTACAAAACACAAGGCATAAATCTCATTTTCTAAGAGTCTGTCGCGACATTTTCAACGGCATGGGGAAAATATACTGGCCATCATTATGCAAAATCTAACCTTTCACAAAAACTTGAACATTAACTGCTGAAAATCAAGAGAAACCTGTACTCTGCCCAGTGACGGCCCTAGGATTGCTGGCACCCCAGGCAAACTGAACTTCGTCACCCTTACTAGTCAATTTTTTTTTAAAAAAGGAGAAAAACTGAAAATGTAGAATAATGATTTATTACAATATACAGCTTAATACAAGCTAAAGAAAACATTCATTATCCTACCTAAAAAAAAATTCTAGCCTTCAGATGTGCAAATCTTTTCATACACCTATCCTTTACGAGATCATTTTCTATTGACAGAATAGCCGAAGAATTTAATCTTTCTTGAGTTATGGACGACCGCAAGTATATTTTTGTAAGATCTCAAACATATGACATGATCCCATGATGGATCTCGGCCTTGATGGCGCCTCGGATGACTGCCTGATTTGCTAGTGACCTGAGCCGGCCCTGGTTCTGCTCCGTAAGGTTCCGCCCTTCACTTTTGTGGAAATCTTTGAGGATTGTGATGACTTATGGACGGTAGTTAGTTCGTTGGCTGAATTTACATCATGTCAACCCTTTACATTATTCGGACTACTGGCACAGTGGATAAAGGCGTTAGTTAGATCCAGTGACAGGATTCAAACAGTGTGAGTTCAATACCTGGTTAAGGCAGTGGAGAACTTGGAGAGGGGAATTAACAGGAACTAACTGACATCCATTAGACATGGCACGTGGAACTAGAACAGTCTACCCCAGTGAGCGAAATAAAGGGTTTAGTTCGACATTCCAAACACCTGAAGAAGGCCGGAGCGTACACCGGCCGAAACGTTGTGATAAACATGGCGACAAAGATGAGGACAATAGTCCGAATAATGTAGATTCGGTACATAATACATTATCACAGAAATATAGACAGATGTCAATCCTTGTTGGATTATTTGAATACCGAATTTTGTCTGGGGTACCAATTGAGGATTAAACTCATTACTAAGTAGTAATGGTCAAAAAGACTATCCTTTCACACCGTAGGGCCTTTGTAGATGGTAGTTTGCTTCTATTGAGAATGACTATTCCTGTCATGATACTGAGAATTGGAATGCGATTTCTATGCTATTGATCATACAAAGGTTTCTCTGTCGATGGTCATTAGATGTAGTACTAGCATTGACAATATTGGATTTAGAGATAGCAATAATTCCGGGGTTTTATTTCTTCATAAAGATTTAAAACCTGTGATGAGGTATATTTCTTGGACACATAACGAGGAAAGAGGGCTTGGTGAATTTGACACTCACATGGTATATCAACGGTAAAGACAGAGGAAGACAAGTCGGATGTAGTTGTTTCACTGCCGATGGTCGTATCTGTGGTGATACCTTTGACAATAATGGTGATACGATAGTTGGTTGACTTTGATATTTATCAACATGTCAACCTCTACCGGTTATTTAATGTCGAAATCTGAATATTTTGAATACAATTTCATGGTTTCAAGTAAATATATTTTGAATGCGATTGTATGTCTTCAGCTACAGATAAAATGTATTGTTGGTCATTTTGCTATAAAATATACTGCCGGCCATTTTACTATAAATACGTGTTGTTGGTAATTATACTATAAAAAGGTACTGTTGGTAATTATACTAAAAAAAAGTATTTTTGGTAAATTTACTGTAAACAGGTATTGATGATAATTTACTTTCAATATGAAAATGTATTGTTGGTCATTTTGGTATAAAATGTATTGCTGGTCATTTTACTATAAAATATACTGCCGGCCATTTTACTATTAATATGTATTATTGGTAATTATACTATAAATAGGTATTGTTGGTAATTATACTGTAAAAAGGTATTGTTGGTAAATTTGCTGTAAACAGGTATTGATGATAATTTACTTTTAATATGAAAATGTATTGCTAGTCATTTTGCTATAAAATACACTGCCGGCCATTTTACTATAAATATGTATTGTTGGTAATCTTACTTATTATAAAACACAGATTGTGTGTGTGTGTGTGCCTGTACGTTTATATATTGGATCGGATTTCCTACATTTTTCAACCGATTTCAACAAAACTTCACAGGACTACGCAAAATTACCTTTGCAGTGGTTCTAACAGCGCCAAAAATTGTAAAAACACAATTGTTTTTGCGCAAAATAAATTTGAAAACACGATTAATCGCGAGAATGAAAGGGGGACAACTGATATGGATTTATATTTATAAAAGCCAGGTTGTTTTTGTGTCTGTGTGTTCATGTATATATGGGATTAGATTTCTATATTTTCAACCAATTTCAACAAAACTTCACTTTTTTTAGCAGGTAGTGTTTCTTATTGTCTTGCGCACTTTTTTCTTTATTTTAAATTCAGAATGCTTTAAATATTCCATTTACAAGACAATTGTTTAAAAAAAAATTCTATTCAATCGGTAGACTCATAATGATTGAAAACAATGTTTTTGTTTGAGTTTGACCAATTCGTAAAAAAAACCCCAAAAAACTAATTAAGACATGCGTGTCCGTCAACCTTAAATTGACCTTTGTCAATTTTATTTTTCAGTCTTTATGATGGTCGATACTTGATCTATCTCTTACTGTTACATCCCCGGGCAACGACGGGCTCTACTGCTAGTTATACCATAAATAGGTATTGCTGGTTATTTTACTATAAAAATGTATTTTCATACTTTCATAATTTGTTTTTGTTAAGACCTTAACTGTTGCTACCAGCCGAGCCAATGTGGACCTACGAACAACAGCAATTGAAAGGTGGTTTCATGTTCCTCAAAACGTCTATTCTCCCGATCAGAGAGCTTGCTGTCAAATGCAGTTGATGATACGATATTAATTTTAACAAAGCTATTTACGTATAGTTGTGTCGACGGTGGTAGAACGTTCGTGATTATTTTGCTAATGTTAATGGCAATAAGAATAGTAATAATTGCGCCATCTTGACGGAAGTCTTACGGTGCCACAATAAAAAAGAGACAAAAGACTGAATGACAAAGAGCATGATTGTGGCAATGGTTATTGTAATGCTTCGATATTACGACAGAAGTGATGGTGATATTGAAGAAGTAATTCCACTGATACCGCTGCTGCTGATGATAATGAAAAGTTGCAAGTAGATTTAATTATATTGATAATGGAGATTCCATGATTTTTATCGCCATGAATAAATTTTCTCTCTAATGCAAATGTTGGTGACTATATTAGTTACGAAAGGAGATTTAACAAAAACTCAATATTTATCTACGGTGTCGAATCCTTGAATTGAGATTTAAAAAGAGAGCCACCACGGGATTGTGAACCCATTCTACATATCTGTCTATATTTCTGAGATGAGATATTATGTACATTATTTGCATTATTCGGACTATTGTCCTCTTTTTGTCGCCATATTTATCACAACGTTTCGGCCGTCTTCAGGTGGTTGGAATGTCGAAATGAACCCTTTATTTCGCTCATTGGGGTAGACTACTCTAGTTCCACGTGCCATGTCTAATGGATGTCAGTTATCTCCTGTTAATTCTGCTCTCCAAGTTCTCCACCGCCTTAACCAGGTATTATAAACCTAAAATAAATATCACCGACACCAGAGAATATTCCAGTCCTTATTTTCATAAAAATACAAAGGTGAATATATAGAATGGTACACTATTTACATTATTCGGACTATTGTCTTCATCTTTGTCGCCATATTTATCACAACGCTTTGGCCGCTGTACGCTCCGGCCTTCTTCAGGTGGTTGGAATGTCGAACTGAACCCTTTATTTATTTTAGGTTTATAATACACAAAAATTCATACGCAGATGTCCTCAAGGACACATGGCACAGTGGATAAAGGCGTTAGTTAGATCCAGTGATAGGACCCAAAAAGTGAGTTTAATACGTATTTAAGGCAGTGGAAAACGTTCAGAGGGGGAATTAACAGGAGATAACTGACATCCATTAGACATGGCACGTGGAACTAGAACAGTCTACCCCAGTGAGCGAAATAAAGGGTTCAGTTCGACATTCCAAACACCTGAAGAAGGCCGGAGCGTACAACGGCTGAAACGTTGTGATAAACATGGCGACCAAGATGAGGATAATAGTACGAATAATGTAAACAGTGTACGATTCTAGATACTTTACCTTCGTATTTTTATGAAAATAAGGACTGGAATATTCTCTGGTGTAGGTGATATTTGTCGAGGATCGATAGATATTTTTTTAGAGGCGATATTCTCGGTGAATCTTGAGGTGATCTTATCGCACAGTAGAGTTAATCACGGAGAAGGAATTGATAAAAGGCAAAATAATAGAATTGCAGCTGCAGTTATGGTTAATTATAGTTGTAGCAATTGCAGACAGTTATTGAAGTTATGATAATTGTAGAATTGTAACTACAGAAATACTAGTAACTGCATTTATAATAATTGCAATACCAGTAAATGTATTTATAATAATTACAGCACTGTTAAATGCAATTATAGCAATTACAGTTATGATAATTGCATTTATAATGATTGTGGAATTGCAAGTATGATAATTGATGTTATGCTAATTGCAGAATAGTAACTGCAGTTATGGTTTTATCAAATTATTGAACATAATTTTTCGTTTCCTAGCGAACGTGTCAATTGCCATGAATTGAATATATATATATATATACACAATGGTAAGATCCTAATATACAGCCTGTTAGATCAGGGCTACAGGAGTGTAGGACGTCCATGGCTAAAGTACAAAAACAAGCTGAAAAGCAACTTGTCAGCTGTCAATATACCACATAACACCCTTGGATCGGGTAGAATGGAGATCAACGTGTTTTAGCGGACTCAGCAGTTTTCAATCTGCTTGTCTGAATCATCTTCAAGAAGCGAGAGCAAGAACTAAAAGGTCACCCAATCTAACAGTGATCTCATCTCACAATCCTCACTCTTGCTCCATATGTGGCCTCCTTTGTAAATCACTAGCGGGTCTTAAATGCCACTTAAGATTAGCGCACAAAATTTCCTAACTGAATCAACTAAGCTGTCAGATCCTCATATGTCGAAACCGACGGGAGGGTCCATATATATATATATATATATATATATATATATATATATATATATATAGTTTATGCAAATTTAGGTAATCCGTATGGGTAGACCTGAGGAGGATGATATCCAGAGAGCTCAATGTAAAATTCAGAGCAGATATGTTTGAATAAAAAACAGACCACGTTAAGATTCCATGTAATGTTATTTCACCATAACCCTTTTACAGGGTTCTGGATCATCAGACTTTACTTCCAAAAGCTGAAATGAAAAATGAAAAAGAAATTCACGTTTTTACGGACCTCATCAAGTATACGCAAAGTTAACGAAGTGAGGAAGTGAGGTGGGAGAGAGGATATGAGTGTGTGTCATATGTATCATTTTAGTTTCCTATTTTAACCCCAGTGTGTCAACTGGATGTTGCTCAAATTTAAGGCGTCTCGTTTCTAGATAAAGGTGGCTAAGGGGTGAACGATAAGAACTACATTAAAGGAAGACGTTACAACAACTCCAATAAATTACACGACAGGTTTCATTCAAATTCTTAGACGCTGTCAGTTCGCGTTACTTTAACGTGCATATTTAGGAGGTTAAGGTTTGATAAATATCTAAATTTTAAAATAATCTACGAAGGAATTAATTTGAAATTCGGTGGAGTTTTGGGTATTTTCTATGAAACAGTCGATTGGAAAAATCCATAGACAGAACATTGAAAGAGCAATCCAATTTATATATGTATATTTGATTTTTGTTCATTAAGTAACCTCGTGGTTGTTTTTATGTACCCAATTATCAACAGTTATTCCCATTTAAATAATTTTATTCTCCACACTGGGGTAGTATCTTTCAATCTCAATTAAAATACCGATCTAAATTTTCCCTTCGTGCTATTTAAAATTCACTTGGAGAATATTAGAGGAGAAATTTGGAAGAGATGTCACGAGCAGAAAATTAGGCCCTTCTTTTACAATTTCTTATCTACACATGTCTTAAACCCCTATTTGTAACCACATACCTATATCTTCTTATATGCCTATGAGTTCCTATATACACCTACACACGCATTCACTCACGCATTCACACGAAACGATATATGTATATTTCCATCTTTACACATAAAGACCTGCAGAGAAAACGCACATCCACATGTCTCCATACCTATCTCCATATATACTTATACTTATATACATATACACACAAGGACATCTGCATATCCATATATACTCATACGCACATATATATATTTACACATCCATACGTATACACATATACACATACATACACACACCCATATATGCATACATACATACATATACATATGCATACGCAATATGCAGAATATCTACATCCCCACATATGCGTTAATTTGCACTTACATATATCTACCCACGTATTTGTCCCTATCCTCATGTCCACCCGTGCATCCACTTATGCCTGCGTTCGAAGACTATCTCAGTATTTAATTACATTATCTATATCTTTACACATATAATATTACCCGATTTTTCATATTTATGGCAAAACATATAAGTACCTATTTAATTGTACATCTCCACATTCACAAAAAAACAAAAAAAAACCTGGTATGCTTCTTTTTCCGTATAAAAACATATACATGTACATATCAACATGTGTCTCAGTGTGCAAATACATTATCATAGTTGTATACATATAGTCATGTGTTAGCGTTCACGTTTTAAAAAAACAAAAAACGCTGACTTTAGCCATATTTACAATTCTCTCGGTACAGCTTAATAATCTTTATTAAGAAATTTATTAAAAATAAAATATACTTCTCTCAAAATTTATTTCAGGAAGATTAGCTGATTTAAAGTTTAATTAATTTGATTTGAAACAAATATGACTTACTTCTTATTTTAAAGCATTTTTAACACGGAGGTGAGTGTTTTTATGAAGTGTTGACAGCTCTATTGATAGCCTAATGTTTGGGGAATTTAACTAATTTTTTCTACGGGAGACATATCCATAACAATTACTTGACGAATATTTCGTGAGTGCCTTTTAAATATATATATATATATATATATATATATATATATATATATATATATATATATATATATATATATATGTATATATATATATATATGTATATATATATATGTGTGTGTGTGTGTGTATAAATATATATACTACATAGAAATTTAGATAAATGTTCTAATTTTTTAAATTTAGGTAATTTGACTTTAAACTTAGTATAGTTACCGCTCTTATTATCTAATAATGCAGTGTATCAACGATCTGGGTTTGAATTTGCTTATATCAACTTTCTTTCCTATACTAATGAATGAAATGAAATTCAGCTAGTTGCCATGAACATGTTTAAATGCTTATTAAATGTCCACTAAAATGTCACCACGTCTTTAGCTGATTAAAATTTTGCATAAAAGAACATAAAATATCACGTGTTTTTAATTAAGTGACTAGTGAGTATATATATATATTTTAATCAATTCAGCCCAAGCAAGTAGATAATGCAATGACTTTATTAAGGACCGGAAACCCACGCCTAAACAAGGAGTAACGAATAAATCTCTGTGTTCAAAAGCCCGAAGAGGAGTGTGAACCGGACTATATATATATATATATATATATATGTGTGTGTATATATATATATATATGAATAAAGACAAAAGGAAAATTTATGTTTCGTCCTATGACGTCCCATGTTGATAATATGTAAAAACTTCAGACAGAGTATATCTGTGAAAATACAATATGAATTAAAAAGAAAAGGTAAACTTATGTTAGCCTGCGAATTTCGTCCTCTGAGGGAAGCATTTGCCTTGATAAAATCCCACATAGGACGTAACGCGGTGGTTAAGATACGTTTTCCTCTCTGTGTTTGTGAAGAAGCAGCCAGTGCGACATCTTTTAACTCTATCTCACTGCAGGAGCTCGCAAGCATGGGTTACTCGCCCCTAATAGCTAAACATGACTAGCAAAATCGTCACGGCGCGATAA